TTAAAAGTCTCGCGTAACGCGTATAACTTCTCCGGAATAAACGCGCGAAAATTCTGACCGGATATGGCTGCGGTTTCGTTCTCCGTGTATCTGTGTCCTCGTCCGAATATTTTCCAACTTGTTAATTCAACTTTCCATATTTTATTCCAGAAATTTATTTATTTACATAGGAAAGTTTTATCGTAACGATCTCGTAATTTCTCCTTTCATGTTCGAGAGTATCGATGCGCGGTCAAGATATTCGATCGAGGTAACGTAGAGCGACAATTTTCAACTCGCGGGGGATTAAAAACTTTGTTCCGCGATGAATCTGCGTAATAAGCAGTTTTTCCGCCGATTTATCGCGGTAAATATGACTGTCGCTTCTGCCTTTCCGGCAAATCCCTCGCTTTACAAATGAAACCATCTCGCGGCTGTTTGAGCGAGGAGTGGAAAGCAAACGTTGCACGGAAGACATTTAAACTTAAAGGAAATTGGCGCGGATTTAAACTCGTGACGTTACATTCGCATGTTTGAATAAATTTTCGAATGTTTGAAGATTTTAAATTCTCATCGGTCACTCTCGAGTCGATTTTTTTTTTTTTTTTTATATCCTTTGCACTATTTAATGAGAAGATATTATACATTGAATACTATAATACGATCGATTGCAGATAGCCTTCTAGAAGAAATTCGGGTTAACTTTTAAAAAAGCCTAAATACACGGCACGTGGAACAGGCGATATTTTCCCTCGAGTCTCGCTTATGGAACGTTTCGAAACGAAATTAACTTATGAAAATGGCATTACCGTCTCCTTTCCCGGGAAATTTTCCGTTCTTCGTCGAATATTCCGATATACAAGATATTATTCACCTTTGAACACTCGATTTTAGGGGCAAGAACGCACGAATATACCAAGTAGACGAAAAAATTTCCGTGATGAAAATATCGATATATTAAAACTTATACCTGTTTTTAACATGTAGAATTAATTCTCGAAAGATGTCGAATCGATACAGAGGGGAAGCTCGTCTGGTCCGTGAAACTATTCATCCACGATTTATTCTCGACCCATCCCCGACCTCACAGCCACTCGGCTCGCTTTCATATCCGCCACCGTGTTCCACCATTTCGTCACCGTCACTCTAATTAAGCCTGGAAATTCGACTAAATGCATCCTGGGCCCGTTCAAATAGTCGTGGATTTAGACGCCGATCCGAGCAGCCGTTCCCTTCACCCGTTTCCTCTCATCTACGACGATTTCTTCCCCCGACGCTTGTGGGGGACGCGTTACATGCAAATCGAATTGAAATTTAAATTAATGATCCCACGTGGCCTCAGCAGGCGCTGCCTCGAGGATTCCCCGCTATTCCATCTTTGATAATCCGTTCTATATTGCGCGATCTGATCTGCAGGATGGACCTTGTTTAAGAAAAGAAGATCCGTTTGAATACGAAATACGAGAAATACAATATTTAGTACTGTTGTATTGGAAAAGCGCGAAGAAAAGGATATTCTTCTTTTATTTTTCTGAAAAAAAATTCTGGAGGTCACTTCGTCGAAGCGAGACGTTTTTCAAAGGGAAAGACGTTTTCGTCAGGAAAGATAAAAATTTGTTCAGGGGAGAAAACGATGTGTGTTTCTTCAAAGTGAAACGTATATCCTTACATCCCGCAATTACATTAAGCCAGTTTATGAAAACCAAAACGAGACGCAATTTTCGCCGAGCTCTTTGTTCCGCTAATTACAGCAAACGAACACAGAGCCCATTTTGCTTAATTCCTGAAAACGATGAGCGGCCACGCGAAGCCGGCTTTGTCGCAGTCTGGATTTAATAAATTCACCGTTTCGCCGTTTTATATCACGGGCGTGTAAGCTGTTTTACGTATATTTTTACCGCGTTTCCTCTAGATCCTCCTAGAAAGGATAAGTAAGTAAGTTAAGCCGGCGAGAATAAAGAATAAGGACGTTTCGCTCGAGAATTATTCGATTCGTCTTATTAATTTATATTCCAATCTCGTTTTCATTGGTAAAAATTTTTAAACGAATGATGAGAATTTCAATCGTTGGATAAAATTCATCGTGTGAAATCAGATTTTGAACATTTTATATATTTTTTTGAACATCGAAAGAACGTTCTTTCCTGGATCGATTTTTTAAAATTTCCACGGGCGAAATTTCATCGAGTGAGAAATTTTAAAGGTTCAATTTTTTTCGAATTAAACGAGATCTACGTTTTACATTCCTTCGTTCGATTTTTCGAGCAAAATTTCCAGAGAAAAAAAATCGAACCTAATTGACATCCTGATCCATTCAACAAATTTTAAATGCTATCGATTTTTTAAATTAACGAGATAACATATTCCCAAAATTTTCAAAGTACGATTTCGTCAACACCGAATGAAATTTTAAGCGTTAATTTTTCGAATTAACGAAATATAATATTTTCTTTCAAAATACTTAACATATTTTCGATCGATTGAATGAAAAATTCGACAGAAAGGAAAAGTTTGCCGCGTTGATACACCTCTTACAGCATTGCGAACAATCGAGCCAGCTAAGCTAATTAATTTGCATCCGTTCGTTTACAGTTCGTCCTCGAGAATCCACTCAGCCGGATTCTGGAACCTTCCTCTCTCTTCGACTTCCTTCTCCCTCCCCTCTCATTCTCATTACCTTCTCCCTTACTTCGAAGGCGAAGCCTCCACCACGCCCGTCTCTAAATTCGGCAAAAGTGGAGATCGGCAAAATTGCTTTTTCAAAATTTCCATCAGCAGAGAACAAAGTGGGCCGAGTTTCCAATGGATATCCGGAATATCCGATTGCCAATCTCCACGTAACTGAGACGTATCCCCCCCTCCCCTTTTCACCACCCCTTTTCTCTCGAATGAATTTTTCCTCGGGACAGGATCTTCCTCGATTTCTTCGCCTCGTTTCGACACGGGATCCTCGATCGCGCTTTCCAATTCCCCTCCGCGCGAATAAAAAAACACGAACAGGCGGATATTGCTTTAGTTACCATACCATTGTGTCCCCTTCTCTCCATGGCTTCATTTATTATTGAAAGAAATGACGTGGAGGAACACGTGGAGGATAGGCCGAGGATCCATATCAACTAGGCATCGATGCGAAAATTGGGATGGAATTGGGTCGCGTTTCTATTTTTTTTTTCTTCTTTTTTCGCGGAGAAAGAAATGTGGTGCACGTTGAGTGAATAAAACGCGGAGAAAGAGGAGGAGAGCGCGACTTGATGGCACACCTTGATGGCAAGAGGAAAGAAGGAATTCGCAGATAAGGGCCCATCCATACTCGACTTTCTTTTAATTCAATTGAAAATCGCGTTATATATACCCGATTTCGGACAGGGGATGACTGGAAAAAGTGTCGAGTTGCGTCTCGATCACCGTCGAATGGCCGTTCGAGTGACGTTCTTCGACGCGTGATCAAAGGGATGATGGAAAGGAGAAATCCTTGGAATTGAACATTGAAAATCGAGATGGAATTTCGTGAATCTCTCTATACAAGTTGGAAATAAAACGGAAATTACAATATTTTTCTTCGTATCCCTCGCGCTTTAAACGTATGATTCCGGTTTATCGCGTGGAAAGATGCTCGTTCGACGAGCAAGAGAAGATATGTTGCAAGAAATTGCAATGCTCTCCTCTTCTTTCAACCGGATTGTATAAAAGATGATGGCGGTAAACGATTCTGATTCGTGATCGTATATATATAAATATGAAGAACAAATATTCCAAGGAATCATCGTACTCTTGTAAAAAAGTACGAGATTGCAAAAAAATGGCGAGGAACGATATCTCAGCGGAAGATATTTCGGCGAGCTCTGTGTTTCCACGTTCTCAGGGGGACGCGTGAAAACTTGTTCCCTCTCAGGAGGAATAAATGGAGGAGGAAGAGAAAGAGAGAGAGAGAGAGAGGGAGAAATCTGCTCGATAGTCGTGCCGTTACGTTGCATATACGAAAGCATTTCGAGAAGTTCATCCAACAGAGGGGCGAATTCCCGTGGGTGGGCTAAAGCTTTCCTCGAGCGGAAAAGTTCCCGGTGTGAGAAAAGTGTGGCAAAGATAGAGGAACACAGCCTCGGTGTCGAACAGTCTTATCGACGTTGCTTTCGATCGTTTCCTTTTTTTTCTTCTTTATTTTTTTTTTTTTTCTTTATACCCTTCTCGTTTTCTTCGAGAGTCGCAACACCCGGAAGCGTCCATCGATCTCTTGCGAAATTATTTACGCTCGAATAATTCCTATGTCCCTCTTCCGAGTGGAGTTCGCGTCTAAAAATTTCTATCGATGGTATCTCGAGCGATGAAGAAGAGCGAATAAAGAAAGAAGAATTGTATTTTCAATTTACGACGATTTAATTTTTTATCGGGAAAGTTTCTTCTCGGAAACTTGATCGTGTTGTTCGATTAATTTTTATTAAAGTTCGATTCTCTTTCTCTGGATCGTCGTGGACCGAACGTCGAATCGATTGAATACTTCGCTTCACTCCCCGTTATTTTCAGAAACGATTTAATCCAATTCAATTTTTCCATCCGTAAAAGTTTCCCCGGATATCGCGCGAATTGGATCGAATTTTTGTTTCTCTGTATTTTTTTTTTTTTTCTTTTTTTCGAAACGATCGGAGTTTTTAATCACGAAACTTCGAACTTCTTGGATTCTCGTATTTTCAGAAACAATGTAGTTTCCATTTCCCCGCCGCGGAAGTTTATGAATACCTTCGAGGCTTTTTCGCCTTCGTGTTCGCCGTTTGTGGCTTCTTCGAGAATCATCGATCTTCTTCTTCTTCTTCTTGTTCCGCGGATGAAGACGTATATACGACGTCTTTCTTCCGTTTCACGATCCTGATCCTTCGACGATCAAGGGATACCAGCTGATCCTTTCGAAGCGAATATCTTCACCCTCCTCCTCTGAGCACGTTTACACGCGCTCGACCGATTAAATACACGGGAAACGGTTCGTCGTAATCGAACGATTTCACGGAGCAGACGGTTATTATTTTCAGAGTAAGATGGAGGAGCTAAGATCGAGAAGGATTCACAGAATCGTCGAAGGTTTCCTACCGAAGAGTATGGATCCGAAAGATCGCGCATCGGAGACCGATCTGCTGTTACAATTCTGTCTGTCTCTCAGCAAGGTGAGCGATAAACATTTTTTTTTCTCCAAATAATAATCATTCAAGCCTTCTAAATCTAAGGAAAAAAAAAAGGAAGGCTTGAATTTATTCATCACGATTTATCCAAATAATAATCATTCAAGCCTTTTAAAACTAAGAAAAAAGAAAAAGGAAGGCTTGAATTTATTCACGATTTATTTAAATAATAATCATTCAAAACTTTTAAATCTAAGAAAGAAAAAAAAAAGAAGACTTGAATTTATTCATCACGATTTACCCAAATAATAATCATTCAAGCCTTCTAAAACTAAGAAAAAAGAAAAAAGAAGGCTTGAATTTATTCACGATTTATTTAAATAATAATCATTCAAGACTTTTAAATCTAAAGGGAAAAAAAGGAAGGCTTGAATTTATTCATTACAATTTACCCAAATAATAATCATTCAAGCCTTCCAAATCTAAGGAAAAAAAAAAAAAAAAGAAAGGCTTTATTCATCACGATTCAAATGTTGATCCCCAGATATATCCGAAGCACAAGGATCTGTACAATTGGGTGGACGTGGACCAAAGGGTGTACGTGCCGTTCAACATGTCCTATCTCCAGGAGAGTTTCGGTTATGTGAGTAAAAGGTCGAACACATTATTGTATCGCGATCACGTAGGCGATTTTTGAGAGGAAAAGTGACTTGGTCCCGTTCGTTCCCGGGTTAGATAAGGTGGGGGACGCTGCTGAACGCCACTCTAGGCGCTGCCACTGCCGATCTTTACAATCACAGCAGCCGCAATCGGGATCGGGCCCATTACGGCTA